CTATCATTCGTTATATGGACGTTCTCACCAAACGACTCTGGGTCACGCTAACGGGATATGAAAGTAGGAAGTATGACGTTTTTAAACAGAGCATTCTGGTAATGTATCCTCGTGCTTAACTGGGTATACGCTATACGATCCAGGATTTAGACCATGTCGTTCTCAGCACAGCAGACTAGGACATATCCACAGAAACAAAACTCCAGTATTATCGTCAATTTCGTTCCATTGCCTTCTGGTTAGAAGCCAACTCAAAGATCTCCGTTCGCGAGCGCAATCAGTACTTTTGGCAAGCACTCCGTCGTTTGGCGCGAAGAGCTATTGACCAACGCCTCCAACTCAAAGATGCCAACTACACGCGAAACGAGGCACCTGACTATGAGAGAGTCTTGGAAGCAGGACGATTTGTATTTTCAGATGATGCGTTCGATGTTGATCTAAACGGGCCCATTGCTAGCTGCTTCAAATCAAAATGCGATACTCATGGATCTAGGCCGAAGCCAGCACGTCAGAATTGGGATTCAGACGAAGAAGATGAGAGAGTCGTACGACGAGAAGTACAAACCAAGTGTGTCATATTCACTCTCCCACCTGCCCCTGTCAAATCTACCCTGGACAAAGTCGAGGCACTCACTCGAGAGATACATGGTCTCGACTTAAGCCACGCCAATTATTTAGCATGTTTTACTCGACTCGTTTACCTCGTTCCCATTGCCGCTGATATCTGGGCCACTCCTCGCACTCATCAACTGGGTACCGATGTGCCCACAGCTACTCCCATATTTGCTCCGCCTCCCCAAACGCAATGCAACGAGAACCTGCAGCAAGCCACAGACAGGCACACAAAGACCCTCGATTCATTCCCCCCATTGTTCCTTCCAGCGCTGTCATATCCGAAAGCTATTTCCATGAGGAATTGAACGCAGACGCTCTCACCATAACTTGTTCGAAAGCTAAAAGTGCTGCACCTGATAGCTCAAACGCAGGACTATCTCAAGAGAAGCTCGAGGGACCTATTAGTACTTCATCGAACGTCTGTGCCCAAGAGCAAACTTGCACCATCAAAATCTCGCCTCCTGATACATCCCTTGACACTCCCAATGATACTCCCGCATTCACTTTCGAGCCCAAAGCAGCCATTTCAGATGCAGTGTCGCATATCCATCAGAACATGCTCAATACCATCGTTGCAAACATCATCATCGCCGACCTCCCCGCAAATAGTCCAGACCTTCACAAAGATCTCATAGAACACTGCTGCACACGTCAAGTTGCCATTTCGTCACCTGTCACTCTTGCTACCGCTGTCATTCCTCCTCCGCCTCGTCCAAGCACGCCTATACTTTCAGCAGCCACGTTCCATAGTTCATCCTCCATTTCAGTTCAGCCACCTGCCACAGTCTCACACAACCCCGCTCGACGAATTTTAGCTTACAAGAAGGTCGCTGATCCAGTCAAGTCCATCACAGCAATATTAATGTCAACAGCACATGTTCTGTCTCCCAATAAGTTAGCCCTCGCATTGGACAAGAGTGGGAAAGGATGGGTTCGCGACGGCTATTTTCCGCCGTTTGTTCCCTCGAAATCAACAGCTTCACATCCGAGTTCAAGTTTGCAGCCTTGCCCTGTTTTGTCTCATCCCTTACCACCCTTATTCCCCAACTTCTCTCGATGTCACCCAATACCTCAATATCGAAAACCTTGCCGGTACTATCACAGACGAAGAGTACCTAAAGTTAGATGCGTTTTTCCATTTTGTTTCTGTTTTTCTTGATTCCTCCTTTGACCGTTTCATATACAATACGAATTTTAGTTTATTAGTCGGAAGATCGACCGAGGACGGTCAATATTCGAAGTGGAGAGGGGATGTAAGGATTGAACATCCTCTACGCACGGACTATGACTATGGCGACAGCTCGAAGTAGTAATAGTTGAGGTGAAGACACAAAAGCAAACACTCAAGACGTTCCAGCCGAGCACGTTGCAGATATGGCCGAGTCCTTGAAATCCGCTGTGTCGATAGAATTCGAAACATGGGTAAGACTAGAGATTCAATAGAGATGTTGATGTTACAGGTAAATGCATATATATATACTAACTACTTCAAAAGTCCAGCTTTTAACAATCTCAACCGTCTTTCCTGCCTGTTCCTTTGACGCCTTTCCTGCTCCTCCTTGTCATCTCTGGCGGGGGGTTCTACAATCACGACCTCATCATCCTCATCCGCGACCCTCTCCTTTCTTGTGCCAGCCCTCTTGGGGGCGGGTTCCACAATCTCTACCTCGTCGTCATCTCTAGCCCTCTTCTTGGCTGGGGTCTTTGATGACGTCCTGTTAACCCTCTCATCCCATGCCTTCAAGATGGCCTTATCTCTCAACGATGCCTTCTTTATGGCTTCATCTCTCTCCTCATCTCTCTCCCTCTTGTACATTTCTCTGTATCTTTCCTCTGGAGTCTTCAACGTGTCCACTGGAATGTCGGGCTGCGTGTCTACCGGACTGTCGCGACGCATCGTCTTCATCTTCCTAGGCCCTCTTCTGTTTGTGGGCGCCGTCATCCTTCCGACCCTCCTGACTTTTGGTGGTGCGCCATCGATAGGCTGCTTTGGTTTGGTTGGGGGTTGGGGTCGCGTCATTGTGAGTTATTATAAGAGACAAGGATTGTAAGTCACAAAATAATGTGATGGTTGTAGGATGAAGACGAAGACCAGCGTATTTGAAGTGGACTAGATACTGTGGACTGTGGTGACTCTATTGACACGTGAAGCGGTCCACCTGGTTAATTGAGCGAATCTCTCAGAGGCACTTAGATGATCACTCATACATACATATATTAGATATATCTACACATCGTAAACACATTTGATCTACTTTCACCCCAAGTTTGAAATGGTAAGCGTCTGGTTTGCAACAGATGATCGCTGTACTGATCGCCTAACTACCATTCACGATTCAAATGTCAAGTTTGCTGATTGATGCCCAATCAAAATCGACAAGAATGAGGTAGATATAAATCTAAGAATTTCGAGACAGCAAAACCCTAATTTTGTGCAAAACGCAAAGAATATTTGCAAAGGAAGAAAATGCAAATATTGTCAGACTGCGATCGCGTAGTTTGCAACTGTGCAACGAACTTTCGGCAAACTTTGCACATGCACACTAGGTCAATGTGCACCTGGTAGCGACCATGCTGATATTAGTGTGTTTTGCCTCCCCCCTGGTGGTTCTCAAGAATATGCTGATAATTTACGCCACCTCGTCCCATCCCCTAGTCAACGACAATTGGAGATGCGCAGGACAGAGACCAGTATCACGAAGCCACCTCTTATTCTTAGACTCAACCCTTCACGTTGCCTTGGAGTTCCCAACTGTACGACCACGGATATTATGCATCTAGCTGATAACCTCAGTGACCTCCTCATTTCTCTCTGGCGTGGAATGATAGATTGTGCCGCTACAGATGATGTAACTACATGGGATTGGGCAGTACTCCATGACGCGGAAGCTTGGAGTGCACATGGGGAGTTGGTTGCACAAGCGGGTCCGTTTCTTCCTGGTTCTTTTGATCGCAGAAAAACTCAACACAAGTTATAAAACTTGGGAATTCCAACTGTAAACCTTTGGTCTCGCTCCTGGCCTTTTTGGAACACTCACTTTTTCAGATCCCTCTGCACAAGCGCCAGGCATTTCTGGACACCAAGTGACTAGTACGGATGGCTTGTGTGCTATTCCTGCAAATGATACCAGCGAGATGTCCTTATCGTATGGTGCTAGTCGTGCTTCCACCTTGGGAGCACTTGCGAAACAAACACGCGAGAGCGCAGATTATCAATGCTTTGTATGTCGATGCAAGCGGGCCCAAGAGTGTGGAACCTGAACAAGTGGTATGTGTTCATATTCAAACACACACAAGTCTCACTATTGTTTTAAAGATCCGTCCTGATGACGACCCTCTGCACACTCCCAATGACTAACATACACTTCCCCCCGACAACAAACCTCTGCACACTCCAACAACAAACTTTGAGGACTATCGCTGAGGATTATCGTGACTATGGGACGGACTATTGAGAATTTTAGCATATGGCCGCACTTTGTAACTTTGAGGACTTACTGGAGTCACCAGACTTTGACGACTTTAAGCACATAGTTGTACCTTCACTTAATATGACTCTGAGAACACCTTTGGGAATATACCTACTATTATTGGACTTCCAAGACCGGACTTTGAGGACTTGCCACCCACGACTTTGAGGACACTTTGAGGACTTACCACGACACTTTGAGAAATTACAACGACTTTAAGGACACTTTGAGGAATTACCACGACTTTAAGGACACTATGAGGACTTACCACGACTTCAAGGACGCTTTGAGGAATTACCACGACTATGAGGACACTTTGAATACTATGACGACTTCAAAGACACTTTGAGGACTTACCACAACTTCAAGGACGCTTTGAGGATTTACCACGACTTTAAGGACTTACTAGACTTACTTGACTTTGGCGATTTTAACCACATAGTCGTACTTTCACTTAATATGACTCTGAGCACAATTTTTGGACTATACCTAATATTAATGGACTTCCAAGACCGATGACTATATTCACACTGATTATTTACCAAGTGTCTGACCGCTCTGAATGTATTATGACTTTGAGGACATGGTCACACTTCCAAGACTCATCACATTCACACTTTCCTTACTAAGCTTATGAAGATCAACTTCTCCTGTAAAACACATCCTTCAAATCAATGATATTGTCAAAAGTCCACTGTTGGTTGAAGCCAACAATTGTGCAAGTGTCTCCTTACCTAATGTGTGTGGCTGATTCAAATCCATTTATTTGACCCCGCCGCTCGTCCTTCTTTCCTCTTAACTTCTTTCCCCCCATCTTGAATTTGCAAAGCTCGTAACATTATGAGCTAATAGCATATCATAACCAACCCCACACTTAGTTTTATCTTAAATAAGTGAATTCCTCGTTGATATACAATGCCACAGCACGACCAACCGGACAAGAAGCCAAGGCTTCAGCACGCCGATCTTTCCGAATCTAATCTTACCGAACAGGAAAAGCAACGTGAACGTCAAAGACGATGGCTCGCCAACGAGAAGCGTGATCCTGCTCGGGCGCAAGAGATCAAGGAAAGGAACACAGCCAACAAACGTGCATGGAGAAAGCAAAAGAAGGAGAAAAAGGAGAAGGCCGACCAAACAGGCAACGCAGGCCCCGCCGAAGGACAAGGTCCTGCGAAGAAACAGCGTGTTTCCTCTCCCGAAACACATGCTGAGGCGGGACCGTACAACTCAGCCCCAGACGATATCCCTATCGACCCAATCCTCCTCAACCAGGGGGAAACCCTTCCTCAGGCGGGACCTTCTAACTCAGGCCCGGACCATATCCCTATCGACCCACTTCTCCTCAACCAGGAGATTGCCGCACCTACTCCGACTCTCCCTCTAATGCGCGATGCTGAGGTGATGACAGATGCGCCGGAACCTCTGCACGATGCTGAGGTGATGACGGATGCTCCGGAACCTTTCGTCAATCTGCCTGTCGAAATCATCCCTGTACCTCCTTTGCCTACCTTCTCTACCCTTACCAATCTCGACTCTCGCGACCGGGCGACTCCCATTATCGGCACTCAAGTACACAAAAAATCAGACACCATCGACTGGTCTGATGGATCCACGATGGTACTACCGTGCATCATGAGGGATGGTGTCAATATATGCCAAGAAGACGCCGACACAGTGGCTTTCTTTGCTTCTCTCCAGGAATCGCTTCCAGAGACTTCTAAAAACATCGTGCATTTACATTACAAGGACTGGCGCACAAAGAGCCGACAGTTGTGCGACGAGATCTCTGCGGCGATTCGGGTAAACAAAGCCGTCATCATTCGGAACATAAGCACACCTGAACCTGCAACATTGGATCTAGACTACCTCGAAGATCGCGGGATGTCAGACTTAATGCACGTCGTCATACATGGTATGATTATTTTAATTTTGTATACTCATCACACGATCTAACCTTGTTACAACAGATGCTGAACAACGTACCAAGGATTTCACGTTTCCCCACCAGCATGCAACTCTTGAAGAGTTCGTGAACAACATACACGATCCTAACAAGATCCAGTGTATTCTAGATGTTGGATACGGACAAGGTGGTCTCCCGTCAGCTCTAAGGTTCGTACCCATATCATTAGTCTAATCCATCACACTACTAAGTTAGCTGACCCGTCCATTATTAGCACTCTTGACAGCAGTATCGTCAACAGATGGAATCAAACTACTGTTGACTGCCCCGTCGGTGAAAAGTTCCACCCGGATAACTTCACCGTACACTCGTGGGCGTTGATTCATAGCCCCACGTTTTGGACACATCCGCACCACGACTTGGATGGTAGCCTGACATTCGTGCAAGTCAAAACAGGCGAAAAAAAATGGGGCCTGTGGCGACACATTCATGAGGACACGCTCACATGGACCCACCTCTCCGAAATAGCCCCCGAACTCACGGATCTCTATCAAAACCGCAAGAAAATACAGGAGACTTGGCACGGAGAAATCGTCACTCTCTTACCCGGTGACATGCTGTGAGTACATTGTTATTTTATAAGGATTTTTACTCACAATTACTAGTATACAACCTCCAGGCCAATTCCACGCGGTTTATACACCAGTAACTTCATTTGCCACCGGAGGGCATTTCTACAACTACGAAACCATGCATCTAATGGAACTTTCTCGATACATAGACCACAAGCAAGGAAGGACCCTCACGAACCAAGTCCACGAGCATTCTCTGGAAACTTTTCAGTGAATGGTCATTAACTTACTGCGCATATCGCGTCGTATTAGTGAGTCTATTTCTACTTGTACAATGTTGGACACTTTTGACATAATTTTTCAGAGCTATACAGCAGGCCTTTGATTGCTCTTTGCATCATGGTCTTAGATTGCAACAAATATGTTGCCGCCGGCACTGAAAAGCCGAAGTTCAAGATGAACACCACAAAGCCGGCGCATGATATCGCCAACGCGATCATAAAGAACTTCTGGAAGGACCCCAAGAATGCAACTAGCGTGTATCGCAAGAAGCAGATAGATGGCAGCAATAGCCAGATGCATCCGGGTGAACCCATTAGTAGAGATGAACTGCTGAATTGCTTGAAGCGCTTCACTGCGCTGTAGTGTAGTTACTATATATTTACTTAAAATTGGATTTGACATGCTGTATGAATAGACTGTACAATACATTCTTATTAGGTGTGATGTGCAGGTATGACCGAGAAGTTAAACAATCGTGAATGTAACGCTATATTATAACTCTTCAATTCTTTTGCGAGTCACATTTGTGTTTGATACATCATGGAAATTTATCTTGATCCTATTAGTAAATCTATAAGTTATGTTGGACGAAGAAATAGATGGAGCCGAAGTGAAATAATCGATACTGTCCGCACAGTGTCCTCAAAGTGTCCTCAAAGTGTCCGCAAAGTCTATAGTCACCCAAGTGTCTTCAAAGTGTCCTCAAAGTAGCATAGTCATCAAAGTGTCCACAAAGTCATATAGTCCACAAAGTGTCCGCAGTGTCCTCAAAGTAGTATAGTCCGCAAAGTGCCGGCAAAGTGTACTCAAAGTAGCATAGTCATCAAAGTGTCTGCAAAGTCGTATAGTCACCAAAGTATCAGTGAAGTGTCCGCAAAGTGTCAGCAAAGTGTCCTCAAAGTAGCACAGTCATCAGTGTCCGCAAAGTCGTATAAGTACTCACCAAAGTGTCTGCAAAGTTTCCACTGTAGTAATATCCAGATGCATCTGGGGTAGCCTATCAGCAGAGAAGGACTACTGACTTGTTCGAAGCGCTTCACCACTCTGTAGTATTTTTTACTAGATATATTACATATATTGGATTTTTCATGCTGTATGAATGCATGAATACCAACTACGGAATTGTCCAATATATTTTTAGTTGTGATACTTGTCAAAGTCTAGTTAAACAAGTGTGAATGCAGCGCCAGATTATAAAGGTTCAACGTTTTTGCGAGTCACACTCGTATTATTACGCATTTGAATTGATTAGGATTCTACTAATAAATCTGTGATTTAAGTGTGCACGAAGAAATACATAGAGCTGAAGTGAAATAATTGATACTCAAAATGAGTCCTCAAAGTCAAACCGGGTCATCAAAGTGTCCTCCAAGTTCAACGACGTCCTCAAAGTCAGACCGGGTCCTCAAAGTCAAGGTACATCTTCAAAGTCTCACGACGTCCTCAAATCGTTGTTTGAATCTATGAAAAATCCAGACAAGATACAATTGCACTATGATAATTCAGTGCACATTGTATAAATTTACGATAGTCTTGTCACGTGAAAATTATCACATGATGGTTCAAAATGTGGTTCAATTTCAACTTCCGCTTCATACGTTCTCTTCCCATTCTACTTCCTTTGTTACACATCTTCTCACATCACATTGTCATAGCTCCTAATGGGGGCATAGAGCCATCGCTCTGACACCATGTGAGAAGTGACATTCGTGTCTAGTGCCTTTATGGGCGCATATGGCTGTCGTCGACAGTCGCATGACATGTCTGTTCTGTTTGCGTCACTCTTGCATGCGTCCCATCTCCTCGCCGTAGCTCCTTACGGGAGTTTTGAGCTGTCGCTCTGGCATGGCATGATGGGCGACTCTCGCACTTAGCGCCTTTATGGGTGCCTGGCTGTCGTCGACGGTCGTGCGATGAATCTGTTCGGTTCATATCACTATTCGACGCATCACCTCTCCTTGCTGTGTCTGTCCCATTCGCGTCACTCTTGCATGCATCCCATCTCCTTTCTTTTCCTGTCCTGTTCGCGTCACTCTTACACGTGTCCCATCTCCTTGCCGTAGCTCCTTATGGGAGTTTTGAGCTGTCGCTCTGGCATGGCATGTTGGGTGACTCTCGCACTTAGCGCCTGTATGGGTGCCTGACTGTCGTCGACGGTCGCGCGATTAGTCTGTTCTGTTTATATCACTATTCGACCCATCAGCACATCTCCTTGCTGTGTCTGCCACGTTCGCGTCACTCTTTCACGCGTCCAATCTCCTTGCTGTTTCTGTCCTGTTCGCGTAACTCTTGCACGCGTCCCATCTCCGTGCCGTAGTTCCTTACGTGGGTTTTGAGCTGTCGCTCTGGCATCGCACGATGGGTGACTCTCGCGCTTAGCGCCTTTATAGGCGTCTGGCTGTCGTCAATGGTCGCGCGATGTGTCTGTGCTGTTTGTATCAATATCTACTATATCTTCTTCAACATGTTATCAAAGCAATTGTAAGTAGTCTTGAAAATATTCCTGCGGACACCTAGCAGAATTGAGTTATCACTCTGGAGATGAGCATTTCAACAAACACAATTAAGTGATCTGAGAGGACAGGGGAAGAATTGAACGTATGATTGTGTATCTATATCCCATGACAGAGCTGTTCCATGAATTCGAAAATAAACTTCCTCAAGTAGTTACAAGACAATGAACCGACTTTGGTGAATTGTAGACTCACCCACAATACACCTCATACATTCATTAAACATAGTATTTATAAGCAATGAAGCAGTTGATTCACCATATGTACATAGAATACTGATTGATATGTGGAGACATGCACCATCAACATAGTCACCACCTGTGATGTTCTGGCATATGGCCACCACTATTACACATTACTGTGACTTCCTCGAGGTTTCACAAATTCATGTATTTATCACACAAATTGCTTGATGCTTGGAAAAAATCATTTGTTGTATGTGGATATTGGAGTGCTAATGCATTTGTGCTCACAATGGCGGCCAAGCTAACAAGTAAAATAATGAATATCCACATGTTGCACAATGTACATGATTGTGAACGTGACTGCTCAAATTTGTGGGTGGCATAATGCACAATACTGATTCTGGACTGGCTCCTGTGGATATTTGTGCATGGGAGAATACAATAGAGGGATTTCGGAATGGCCATGGTGGATATTTATTACTCTCGAGCACTATTAAAACAATCTCGCAAATTATTAATATATCATTCCCGGTCCAAACCAACAACAGGTACATGTATAATTAAGCTCTGATATTCAAGTGAACCAATTGCCTCATTGAGGCTCTTGAGCTCTCACATAACGGGTTTGAAATGAGAATATCGAATTAATGGGAAAGGAAAGTCATTGTATTGAGTTGTTTATAGAATATATGAACTAAACCACACATGCGTCCAAATTTTCAATTTTGTGTATTGAGATACAGGGAATGACAGGATGAAAAGGATCATCTAAGAGCATAATGTACATATGATGGATAGTTGGGTACGTATGATAGGTGTGCTACTAGTATATAATTTTACTAGCTAATTAGTCCCTAAGTCGTCAGGTATCAATCAGACACCGTCAAATCTATCACCTCTGGCTTTTTTTTGGCTTTGGCCTTTCTGCGCATATTTCCAAGACCAGATGGCTTTATGATTCTCAGCATCATCTGAGGCCGAGGGGAGTACAGAAGGAATTCAACGAGAGTTGTGACACGCAGGTTTCCCTCTAGGTTTTCTATTGCATGTCTTAATCGTGGAACCTAAAAATCAATTAATATAACCTTCCAATGAAAACAACGAATAAATCTCACGCAATCCCAAATGTCTCCCTCTTCGGGGGTATCCCCGACAATCTCCATCTTCAAAAATTTAGTCAAGAAATCCTTGTATTCCTGTCCTGGCTGGTCTTTAGCGGAGGACATGATCGTCTGGATTATGCGGTACGGTAGGAATATCTTTCTGAATTGACTCCTGTATTGCGCCGATGGAACTCCCAGACAATATCGAGCTCGCTCGGTTTCAATATACATGGAACTGTAAATGAATGTCATAAGATATCAAGCGAGTTCAAGATAAAGGCGACTTACCCATCAGGGTCAGCAAGGTTGATGTCGTAACTCTGTATGGGTTCAATACAAATAAAGTCAGGCTCGTGTCCTTCGACACAAATCATACCAGCCCCGTTGATATCGCGAGACCCGAGTTCAAAATGACCGTCTAGTTCTGGAAGAAGAACCATGTCTTGCCACCAGTCGAAAAAAGCAAAGTCCTGTAGTAAGTACACGGTGTCTTTCTGTCCACCGCTTTTCCGCTTGACAGGGAAGTACTTATGTTCCGGTACTAATGTACCGGACGGTGGAAGATAAGGCTTCCCATGGTCAGGAACTTCAGTAGTACTGTTGCTATCTATGGTGAGTATTTCGTCCGGAAAGGACACCTCGTATGCTGTCGGTTTCCTTCTTCCTTTGCGATCAGCTGGCATCCTGGCTTGTCTTGGTATTGAACAAGTGAGTAAAAAAGACGAGGGTTGTGTGGTTGAAAGCTGAGATGATTTATTGGCTGGTAGGGGAATTTCTTTGAGCAAGCCAAGGTGTGAGATGCAGGACAAGAAAACTTGACCGTTTTTATATCTATCTGGTCCTGTGGCAATTTTTGCGACTGCGCATGTGGATGATTCACAATTTATTGAACACGAAAGTTGACACAGGACAATAATGATTTTGTTGTGGGACTCATGTTTGACCATGATTCATTCTGCCATTGTAGTATGGACCATTATGCTCCCGAGCACTGAATCTTGTGCTTGGTGTCTCCTTGAATTCATTTGTTGACTTTGATATATTTTTTTCTGCTATTATTACGTAGAATCACCACTACAGCGCTACCGTGCTCCATAATACAACAATGTGCTACAGAAATGAATTTTTGCTACAATTACTACAGGTGCCTCCAAGCACCTTAGCGTTACATAGTTTGGCTATGTAGCACTATGTAACCAGTCACTGGAGCTCCCAAAATATTTGTTTTTTTCCCTCCATAGTAAGTGAAAGTCTCGCTATGCAGTCGTAGTTAGATAGAATCTTGGCCTACGATGTATTGGTTGACTTGCCTCATACTGTTCACCTCCCCCGGTCTGTGTTTTGTATGTGGATTATGGAGTGCTAATACATTTGTATGTACAATGATGGCCGAGCTCACATGTACAATAATGAATATTTACATGCTACAAAATGCAATGGACAGAATTGCGAAATCGGCGCTACTGACATGTGCGCGTGGCAGAATTTACATTTCGAAATAAATTCATAGAGCCAAAAATATATGCATACTTTCCAACTCGTTATTTCATTGCTGGATATAAATGAGGCTTTGCTGTACCATGCAGAAACTGTGAGATCAATTTTGTGAGGACACAGTTTCAAGATATCAAAGTCATATTGAATACTAAGCCCCAAGATCAACATGCAGCAGGATAAATGTGTCCACTCATTATAGTAATACTATATTTATTCATTTATAGAATGAACATCGACGATAGAAAATAATTACAGATACATTTTAAACTGAATTACACCAACGCGACAGAGCAATAATTACCCAACGATAGAGAGCAGTAACACTGTAAGCGCCAGAGCAATCAATCAGAAGAATGTCATCCTGCTTGATCTCACCATCAAGCACAGTACCAAGAATATCAAACCACATTGCGATATCGTCAACAACGGGGATCTTTCCTATCTGCCTCACACCATCTAGAACCTCCTGGGTTCGCTCCAAAAGGTATTGCATATGACACGCACTCGCCGCGTCACGATAGAGCGGCTGTAGCTGCGGCTCAAGTGGGATAGTAACAAATGTTTGTGCCGCGACCTTGATTTTTCCCCTACTCGCTCATAACTTTGCTTGATCCCATCTATATGAGCTGCATATTGGGCAGCTCTTCAGATGGACAAACGGGCCCGTCAATGCTAAACATTACTCTGGGCACATGCAGTCTGCCACGCGCACATGTCAGTAGCGCCGATTTCGCAATTCTGTCCATTGCATTTTGTAGCATGTAAATATTCATTATTGTACATGTGAGCTCGGCCATCATTGTACATACAAATGTATTAGCACTCCATAATCCACATACAAAACACAGACCGGGGGAGGTGAACAGTATGAGGCAAGTCAACCAATACATCGTAGGCCAAGATTCTATCTAACTACGACTGCATAGCGAGACTTTCACTTACTATGGAGGGAAAAAAACAAATATTTTGGGAGCTCCAGTGACTGGTTACATAGTGCTACATAGCCAAACTATGTAACGCTAAGGTGCTTGGAGGCACCTGTAGTAATTGTAGCAAAAATTCATTTCTGTAGCACATTGTTGTATTATGGAGCACGGTAGCGCTGTAGTGGTGATTCTACGTAATAATAGCAGAAAAAAATATATCAAAGTCAACAAATGAATTCAAGGAGACACCAAGCACAAGATTCAGTGCTCGGGAGCATAATGGTCCATACTACAATGGCAGAATGAATCATGGTCAAACATGAGTCCCACAACAAAATCATTATTGTCCTGTGTCAACTTTCGTGTTCAATAAATTGTGAATCATCCACATGCGCAGTCGCAAAAATTGCCACAGGACCAGATAGATATAAAAACGGTCAAGTTTTCTTGTCCTGCATCTCACACCTTGGCTTGCTCAAAGAAATTCCCCTACCAGCCAATAAATCATCTCAGCTTTCAACCACACAACCCTCGTCTTTTTTACTCACTTGTTCAATACCAAGACAAGCCAGGATGCCAGCTGATCGCAAAGGAAGAAGGAAACCGACAGCATACGAGGTGTCCTTTCCGGACGAAATACTCACCATAGATAGCAACAGTACTACTGAAGTTCCTGACCATGGGAAGCCTTATCTTCCACCGTCCGGTACATTAGTACCGGAACATAAGTACTTCCCTGTCAAGCGGAAAAGCGGTGGACAGAAAGACACCGTGTACTTACTACAGGACTTTGCTTTTTTCGACTGGTGGCAAGACATGGTTCTTCTTCCAGAACTAGACGGTCATTTTGAACTCGGGTCTCGCGATATCAACGGGGCTGGTATGATTTGTGTCGAAGGACACGAGCCTGACTTTATTTGTATTGAACCCATACAGAGTTACGACATCAACCTTGCTGACCCTGATGGGTAAGTCGCCTTTATCTTGAACTCGCTTGATATCTTATGACATTCATTTACAGTTCCATGTATATTGAAACCGAGCGAGCTCGATATTGTCTGGGAGTTCCATCGGCGCAATACAGGAGTCAATTCAGAAAGATATTCCTACCGTACCGCATAATCCAGACGATCATGTCCTCCGCTAAAGACCAGCCAGGACAGGAATACAAGGATTTCTTGACTAAATTTTTGAAGATGGAGATTGTCGGGGATACCCCCGAAGAGGGAGACATTTGGGATTGCGTGAGATTTATTCGTTGTTTTCATTGGAAGGTTATATTAATTGATTTTTAGGTTCCACGATTAAGACATGCAATAGAAAACCTAGAGGGAAACCTGCGTGTCACAACTCTCGTTGAATTCCTTCTGTACTCCCCTCGGCCTCAGATGATGCTGAGAATCATAAAGCCATCTGGTCTTGGAAATATGCGCAGAAAGGCCAAAGCCAAAAAAAAGCCAGAGGTGATAGATTTGACGGTGTCTGATTGATACCTGACGACTTAGGGACTAATTAGCTAGTAAAATTATATACTAGTAGCACACCTATCATACGTACCCAACTATCCATCATATGTACATTATGCTCTTAGATGATCCTTTTCATCCTGTCATTCCCTGTATCTCAATACACAAAATTGAAAATTTGGACGCATGTGTGGTTTAGTTCATATATTCTATAAACAACTCAATACAATGACTTTCCTTTCCCATTAATTCGATATTCTCATTTCAAACCCGTTATGTGAGAGCTCAAGAGCCTCAATGAGGCAATTGGTTCACTTGAATATCAGAGCTTAATTATACATGTACCTGTTGTTGGTTTGGACCGGGAATGATATATTAATAATTTGCGAGATTGTTTTAATAGTGCTCGAGAGTAATAAATATCCACCATGGCCATTCCGAAATCCCTCTATTGTATTCTCCCATGCACAAATATCCACAGGAGCCAGTCCAGAATCAGTATTGTGCATTATGCCACCCACAAATTTGAGCAGTCACGTTCACAATCATGTACATTGTGCAACATGTGGATATTCATTATTTTACTTGTTAGCTTGGCCGCCATTGTGAGCACAAATGCATTAGCACTCCAATATCCACATACAACAAATGATTTTTTCCAAGCATCAAGCAATTTGTGTGATAAATACGTGAATATTTGTGAAACCTCGAGGAAGTCACAGTAATGTGTAATAGTGGCGGCCATATGCCAGAACATCACAGGTGGTGACTATGTTGATGGTGCATGTCTCCACATATCAATCAGTATTCCATGTACATATGGTGAATCAACTGCTTCATTGCTTATAAATACTATGTTTAATGAATGTATGAGGTGTATCGTGGGTGAGTCTACAATTCACCAAAGTCGGTTCATTGTCTTGTAACTACTTGAGGAAGTTTATTTTCGAATTCATGGAACAGCTCTGTCATGGGATATAGATACACAATCATACGTTCAATTCTTCCCCTGTCCTCTCAGATCACTTAATTGTGTTTGTTGAAATGCTCATCTCCAGAGTGATAACTCAATTCTGCTAGGCGTCCGCAGGAATATTTTCAAGACTACTTACAATTGCTTTGATAACATGTTGAAGAAGATATAGTAGATATTGATACAAACAGCACAGACACATCGCGCGACCGTCGACGACAGCCAGACGCCTATAAAGGCGCTAAGCGCGAGAGTCACCCATCGTGCGATGCCAGAGCGACAGCTCAAAACCCACGTAAGGAACTACGGCACGGAGATGGGACGCGTGCAAGAGTTACGCGAACAGGACAGAAACAGCTAGGAGATTGGACGCGTGCAAGAGCGACGCGAACAGGACAGAAACAGCAAGGAGATTGGACGCGTGAAAGAGTGACGCGAACGTGGCAGACACAGCAAGGAGATGTGCTGATGGGTCGAATAGTGATATAAACAGAACAGACTAATCGCGCGACCGTCGACGACAGTCAGGCACCCATACAGGCGCTAAGTGCGAGAGTCGCCCAACATGCCATGCCAGAGCGACAGCTCAAAACTCCCGTAAGGAGCTACGGCAAGGAGATGGGACGCGTGTAAGAGTGACGCGAACAGGACAGGAAAAGAAAGGAGATGGGATGCGTGCAAGAGTGACGCGAATGGGACAGACACAGCAAGGAGAGGTGATGCGTCGAATAGTGATACGAACCGAACAGATTCATCGCACGACCGTCGACGACAGCCAGGCACCCATAAAGGCGCTAAGTGCGAGAGTCGCCCATCATGCCATGCCAGAGCGACAGCTCAAAACTCCCGTAAGGAGCTACGGCGAGGAGATGGGACGCGTGCAAGAGTGACGCAAACAGAACAGACACGTCATGCGACTGTCGACGACAGCCATATGCGCCCATAAAGGCGCTAGACACGAATGTCACTTCTCACATGGTGTCAGAGCGACGGCTCTTTGCCCCCGTTAGGAGCTACGACAATGTGATGTGAGAAGATGTGTAACAAAGGAAGTAGAATGGGAAGAGAACGTATGAAGCGGAAGTTGAAATTGAACCACATTTTGAACCATCACGTGATAATTTTCACGTGATAATGTTCACGTGACAAGACTATCGTAAATTTATACAATGTGCACTGAATTATCATAGTGCAATTGTATCTTGTCTGGATTTTTCATAGATTCAAACAACGATTTGAGGACGTCGTGAGACTTTGAAGACGTACCTTGACTTTGAGGACCCGGTTTGACTTTGAGGACGTCGTTGAACTTGGAGGACACTTTGATGACCCGGTTTGACTTTGAGGACTCATTTTGAGTATCAATTATTTCACTTCAGCTCTATGTATTTCTTCGTGCACACTTAAATCACAGATTTATTAGTAGAATCCTAATCAATTCAAATGCGTAATAATACGAGTGTGACTCGCAAAAACGTTGAACCTTTATAATCTGGCGCTGCATTCACACTTGTTTAACTAGAATTTGACGAGTATCACGACTAAAAATATATTGGACAATTCCGTAGTTGGTATTCATGCATTCATACAGCATGAAAAATCCAATATATGTAATATATCTAGTAAAAAATACTACAGAGTGGTGAAGCGCTTCGAACAAGTCAGTAGTTCTTCTCTGCTGATAGGCTGCCCCAGAATGCATCTGGATATTACTACAGTGGAAACTTTGCGGACACTTTGGTGAGTACTTATACGACTTTGCGGACACTGATGACTGTGCTACTTTGAGGACACTTTGCCTACACTTCGCGGACACTTCACTGATACTTTGGTGACTATACGACTTTGCGGACACTTTGATGACTATGCTACTTTGAGTACACTTTGCCGACACTTTGCCGGCACTTTGCGGACTATACTACTTTGAGGACACTGCGGACACTTTGCGGACTATACGACTTTGCGGACACTTTGATGACTATGCTACTTTGAGGACACTTTGAAGACACTTGGGTGACTATAAACTTTGCGGACACTTTGAGGACACTTTGAGGACACTGTGCGGACAGTATCGATTATTTCACTTCGGCTCCATCTATTTCTTCGTCCAACATAACTTATAGATTTACTAATAGGATCAAGATAAATTCCATGATGTATCAAACACAAATGTGACTCGCAAAAGAATTGAAGAGTTATAATATAGCGTTACATTCACGATTGTTTAACTTCTCGGTCATACCTGCACATCCCACCTAATAAGAATGTATTGTACAGTCTATTCATACAGCATGTCAAATCCAATTTTAAGTAAATATATAGTAACTACACTACAGCGCAGTGAAGCGCTTCAAGCAATTCAGCAGTTCATCTCTACTAATGGGTTCACCCGGATGCGTCTGGCTATTGCTGCCATGTATCTGCTTCTTGCGATACACGCTAGTTGCGTTCTTGAGGTCCTTCCAGAAGTTCTTTATGATCGCGTTGGCGATATCATGCGCCGGCTTTGTGGTGTTCGTCTTGAACTTCGGCTTTTCAGTGCCGGCGGCAACATATTTGTTGCAATCTAAGACCATGATGCAAAGAGCAATCAAAGGCCTGCTGTATAGCTCTGAAAAATTATGTCAAAAGTGTCCAACGTTGTACAAGTAGAAATAGACTCACTAATACGACGCGATATGCGCGGTAAGTTAATGACCATTCGCTGAAAAGTTTCCAGAGAATGCTCGTGGACTTGGTTAGTGAGGGTCCTTCCTTGCTTGTGGTCTATGTATCGAGAAAGTTCCGTTAGATGCATGGTTTCGTAGTTGTAGAAATGCCCTCCGGTGGCAAACGAAGTTACTGGTGTATAAACCGCGTGGAATTGGCCTGGAGGTTGTATACTAGTAATTATGAGTAAAAATCCTTATAAAATAACAATGTACTCACAGCATGTCACCGGGTAAGAGAGTGACAATTTCTCCGTGCCAAGTCTCCTGTATTTTCTTGCGGTTTTGATAGAGATCCGTGAGTTCGGGGGCTATTTCGGAGAGGTGGGTCCGTGTGAGCATGTCCTCGTGAACGTGTCGCCACAGGCCCCATTTTTTTTCGCCTGTTTCGACTTGCACGAATGTCAGGCTACCATCCGAGTCGTGGTGCGGATGTGTCCAAAACGCGGGGCTATGAATCAACGCCCACGAGTGTACGGTGAAGTTATCCGGGTGGACCTTTTCACCGACGGGGCAGTCAACGGTAGTTTGATTCCATCCGTTGACGATACCGCTGTCGAGAGTGCTAATAATGGACGGGTCAGCTAACTTAGTAGTGTGATGGATTAGAATAATGATATGGGTACGAACCTTAGAGCTGACGGGAGACCACCTTGTCCGTATCCAACGTCTAGAATACACTGGATCTTGTTAGGATCGTGTATGTTGTTCACGAACTCTTCGAGAGTTGCATGCTGGTGGGGAAACGTGAAATCCTTGGTACGTTGTTCAGCGTCTGTTGTAACAAGGTTAGATCGTGTGATGAGTATACAAAATTAAAATAATCATACCATGTATGACGACGTGCATTAAGTCTGACATCCCGCGATCTTCGAGGTAGTCTAGATCCAACGTTGCAGGTTCGGGTGTGCTTATGTTCCGAATGACGACGGCTTTGTTTACCCGAATCGCCGCAGAGATCTCGTCGCACAACTGTCGGCTCTTTGTGCGCCAGTCCTTGTAATGTAAATGCACGACGTTTTTAGAGGTCTCTGGAAGCGATTCCGGGAGAGAAGCAAAGAAAGCCACTGTGTCGGCGTCTTCTTGGCATATATTGACGCCATCCCTCATGATGCACGGTAGTACCGTCGTGGATCCATCAGACCAGTCGATGGTGTCTGATTTTTCGTGTACTTGAGTGCCGATAATGGGAGTCGCCCGGTCGCGAGAGTCGAGATTGGTAAGGGTAGAGAAGGTAGGCGAAGAAGGTACAGGGATGATTTCGACGGGCAGATTGACGAAAGGTTCCGGCGCATCCGTCATCACCTCAGCATCGCGCATTAGAGGGAGAGTGGGAGTAGGCGCGGCAATCTCCTGGTTGAGGAGAAGTGGGTCGATAGGGATATGGTCCGGGCCTGAGTTAGAAGGTCCCGCCTGAGGAAGGGTTTCCTCCTGGTTGAGGAGGATTGGGTTGATAGGGATATCGTCTGGGGCTGAGTTGGACGGTCCCGCCTCAGCATGTGTTTCGGGAGAGGAAACACGCTGTTTCTTCGCAGGACCTTGTCCTTCGGCGGGGCCTGCGTTGCCTGTTTGGTCGGCCTTCTCCTTTTCCTCCTTCTTTCGCTTTCTCCATGCACGTTTGTTGGCCGCGTTCCTTTCCTTGATCTCTTGCGCCCGAGCAGGATCGCGCTTCTCGTTGGCGAGCCATCGTCTTTGACGTTCGCGTTGCTTTTCCTGTTCGGTAAGATTAGATTCGGAAAGATCGGCGTGCTGAAGCCTTGGCTTCTTGTCCGGTTGGTCGTGCTGTGGCATTGTATATCAACGAGGAATTCACTTATTTAAGATAAAACTAAGCGTGGGGTTGGTTATGATATGCTATTAGCTCGTAATGTTACGAGCTTTGCAAATTCAAGATGGGGCGAAAGAAGTTAAGAGGAAAGAAGGACGAGCGGCGGGGTCAAATAAATGGATTTGAATCGGCCACACGCATTAGGTAAGGAGACACTTGCACAATTGTTGGCTTCAACCAACAGTGGACTTTTGACAATATCATCGATTTGAAGGATGTGTTTTACAGGAGAAGTTGATCTTCATAAGCTTAGTAAGGAAAGTGTGAATGTGGTGAGTCTTGGAAGTGTGACCGTGTCCTCAAAGTCATAATACATTCAGAGCGGTCAGACACTTGGTAAATAATCAGTGTGAATATAGTCATCGGTCTTGGAAGTCCATTAATATTAGGTATAGTCCAAAAATTGTGCTCAGAGTCATATCAAGTGAAAGTACGACTATGTGGTTAAAATCGCCAAAGTCAAGTAAGTCTAGTAAGTCCTTAAAGTCGTGGTAAATCCTCAAAGCGTCCTTGAAGTCGTGGTAAGTCCTCAAAGTGTCTTTGAAGTCGTCATAGTATTCAAAGTGTCCTCATAGTCGTGGTAATTCCTCAAAGCGTCCTTGAAGTCGTGGTAAGTCCTCATAGTGTCCTTAAAGTCGTGGTAATTCCTCAAAGTGTCCTTAAAGTCGTTGTAATTTCTCAAAGTCTCGTGGTAAGTCCTCAAAGTGTCCTCAAAGTCGTGGGTGGCAAGTCCTCAAAGTTCGGTCTTGGAAGTCCAATAATAGTAGGTATATTCCCTCATATTAAGTGAAGGTACAACTACGTGCTTAAAGTCGTCAAAGTCTGGTGACTCCAGTAAGTCCTCAAAGTTACAAAGTGCGGCCATATGCTAAAATTCTCAATAGTCCGTCCCATAGTCGCGATAATCCTCAGCGATAGTCCTCAAAGTTTGTTGTTGGAGTGTGCAGAGGTTCGTTGTCGGGGGGAAGTGTATGTTAGTCATTGGGAGTGTGCAGAGGGTCGTCATCAGGACGGATCTTTAAAACAATAGTGAGACTTGTGTGTGTTTGAATATGAACACATACCACTTGTTCAGGTTCCACACTCTTGGGCCCGCTTGCATCGACATACAAAGCGTTGAGAATCGGCGCTCTCGCGTGTTTGTTTCGCAAGTGCTCCCAAGGTGGAAGCACGACTAGCACCATACGATAAGGACATCTCGCCGGTATCATTTGCAGGAATAGCACACAAGCCATCCGTACTAGTCACTTGGTGTCCAGAAATGCCTGGCGCTTGTGCAGAGGGATCTGAAAAAGTGAGTGTTCCAAAAAGGCCAGGAGCGAGACTAACGGTTTACAGTTGGAATTCCTAAGTTTTATAACTAACTTGTGTTGAGTTTTTCTGCGATCAAAAGAACCAGGAAGAAACGGACCCGCTTGTGCAACCAACTCCCCATGTGCACTCCAAGCTTCCGCGTCATGGAGTACTGCCCAATCCCATGTAGTTACATCATCTGTAGCGGCACAATCTATCGTTCCACGCCAAAGAGAAATGAGGAGGTCACTGAGGTTACCAGCTAGATGCATAATATCCGTGGTCGTACAGTTGGGAACTCCAAGGCAACGTGAAGGGTTGAGTCTAAGAATAAGAGGTGGCTTCGTGATACTGGTCTCTGTCCTGCGCATCTCCAATTGTCGTTGACTAGGGGATGGGACGAGGTGGCGTAAATTGTCAGCATATTCTTGAGAACCACCAGGGGGGAGGCGAAACACACTAATATCAGCATGGTCGCTACCAGGTGCACATTGACCTAGTGTGCATGTGCAAAGTTTGCCGAAAGTTCGTTGCGCAGTTGCAAACTACGCGATCGCAGTCTGACAATATTTGCATTTTCTTCCTTTGCCAATATTCTTTGCGTTTTGCACAAAATTAGGGTTTTGCTTTCTCGAAATTCTTAGATTTATATCTACCTCAATTTGTGGTTAGACATCTATCTACGCGTATCTACCTCATTCTTGTCGATTTTGATTGGGCATCAATCAGCAAACTTGACATTTGAATCGTGAATGGTAGTTAGGCGATCAGTACAGCGATCATCTGTTGCAAACCAGACGCTTACCATTTCAAACTTGGGGTGAAAGTAGATCAAATGTGTTTACGATGTGTAAATATATCTAATATATGTATGTATGAGTGATCATCTAAGTGCCTCTGAGAGATTCGCTCAATTAACCAGGTGGACCGCTTCACGATTCAATAGAGTCACCACAGTCCACAGTATCTAGTTCACTTCAAATACGCTTGTCTTCGTCTTCATCCTACAACTATCACATTATTTTGTGACTTACAATCCTTGTCTCTTATAATAACTCACAATGACGCGACCCCAACCCCCGACCAAACCAAAGCAGCCTATCGATGGCGCACCACCAAAAGTCAGGAGGGTCGGAAGGATGACGGCGCCCACCAACAGAAGAGGGCCTAGGAAGATGAAGACGATGCGTCGCGACAGTCCGGTAGACACGCAGCCCGACATTCCAGTGGACACGCGGTCCGAGAGTCCAATCGACACGTTGAAGACTCCAGAGGAAAGATTCAGAGAAAGATACAGGAGGGAGAGAGATGAGGAGAGAGATGAAGCCATAAAGAAGGCATCGTTGAGAGATAAGGCCATCTTGAAGGCATGGGATGAGAGGGTTAACAGGACGTCATCAAAGATCCCAGCCAAGAAGAGGGCTAGAGATGACGACGAGGTAGAGATTGTGGAACCCGCCCCCAAGAGGGCTGGCACAAGAAAGGAGAGGGTCGCGGATGAGGATGATGAGGTCGTGATTGTAGAACCCCCCGCCAGAGATGACAAGGAGGAGCAGGAAAGGCGTCAAAGGAACAGGCAGGAAAGACGGTTGAGATTGTTAAAAGCTGGACTTTTGAAGTAGTTAGTATATATATATGCATTTACCTGTAACATCAACATCTCTATTGAATCTCTAGTCTTACCCATGTTTCAAATTCTATCGACACAGCGGATATATAGCTTTGCACTGTAGCTTAAGCTTTTTGTATATGCATCATATTTCGCGTTTTGTCATATATAGCTACACTTTAATATTACTACGAATCGATTCAGAAACATACAAAACATTAACAACAAAAAGATCCTGAACATCTGGTTAAAATCGAGTGAGATAAGTGAGTTCGACATTGAGAATAGCGCGCACGAAGTAGTGTCCTGTCAATCTGGTTTGAGGGAACATTTTAATTGCGATAATCTGGCAGATATAGTTAGAAATTTTAGAAAACGACGGAAACTTTATACTCACTGGAAGTACATCAGCAAGTTCATCCCCTGACTTCAACAGTGCTCGCCAGTAATCACGTGGGGTCTGATTGGAGCGCATCTTGCGATTGAATGAATACTAAGCACGGAAATAAGCCTCGAACTGATTATGAAGTGCTTCAGCCAGACCCAGATGTGCGAGTGCGGAGTTTCGACGTTGCATCTCAGCTTTTGGGTCAGTATATTTGGCTGTGTCGTGAACATTACCATATTTCCGCTGCAAAATCTTTTGAATGCCAAGAGCTGCTCGCTTCGACATATCAGGGGGAGGTTTTGATGCACATGTAACTATGTTGTCCTTGCTTTGCCGATTATTCAGGATGAGATCTATCGCGATTGGATTGGCCTGTTTATACGCTGGAACATTGTGAAACACTGCACTATGTTGTGAGTCTATAACGAAGACAACACTCACCGCCATATCAATTCCAAGATCAGTATCTTCAAGGACAGCCTGAAATGCTGGCAATCCACATTTTATTGATAGTGCTGCCCAATAAATAGTACCAAAACGAGTGTCACCAATTACTTCAAGCCCAAGACCAGCTCGTTTGTGATTATAATGCTCCATCATGTAGATTGATGTTGTTGCGCGAGGTACGAGTTGACGACAATATCAGTTGATATGATCCGTGCACGATAGGCAGCGGATTTTAACGTCATCCGAGTTTGTCGGAAAGCAAGTAGTATAAGTAAATACTACGGAACAATCAAAAATGAGTTGAGATCCTCCTGTTCATTTTCGTCTGTACCGTCTCTCTCAAATTAGCTCGTATCTTGCCTCGCAACACCTGAGCGACTCATATAGGCCAATATCATCCAGACCTGTTGGATGACCTAGAGAGGAAACACGAAAACTGTAAGTAAACCTCAATGAAACCAATGCCCACTCAGATCCTCAAACTCGGATAATAAGCAGATATCCTTCACAGAAAGCTTCAGGAGATGATAAGCGTCTTGAAGGTTGATTATGTGGGGGTAATGCTCAGAGTAGCCTCCGACCCTTCTTTGTGTTGCCTTTTATTATCTGACATTGCTGCACAGAAATTCCATGACCCGACGTTCTTAATAACCTAACAGTGTCAGTATATCTATCAATTGTTGCTAAATTGACATTGAACTGAAGCAACAGGGAGTTGGACAGATGAGCCCGCTATCACACCCAACTAGGGCGACAACTCGAAGCCCACGCGAAAAGCAACGGGAAGGAGATGGAGTGTGGGATATGCATAAGGGCCGCACAAAAATAAACCAACTAACATATTGCACAACCTCCGGCGAGAGCCGGACAATATGAAACGCGTCGAATGGTGATGCGAACAGCACAGACTCATCGCGCGACCGTCGACGACAGCCAGGCACCCATAAAGGCGCTAAGTGCGAGAGTCGCCCCAACATGCCATGCCAGAGCGACAGCTCAGAACTACCGTAAAGAGCTACGGCAAGGAGATGGGACGCGTGTAAGAGTGACGCGAACAGGACAGGAAAATAAAGGAGATGGGACGCGTGCACGAGTGACGCGAACAAGACAGAAAAGAGAGGAGATGGGACGCGTGCAAGAGTGACGCGAATGGGACAGACGTAGCAAGGAGAGGTGACGCGTCGAATGGTGATGCGAACAGCACAGACTCATCGCGCGACCGTCGACGACAGCCAGGCACCCATAAAGGCGCTAAGTGCGAGAGTCGCCCATCATGCCATGCCAGAGCGACAGCTCAGAACTCCTGCAAGGAGCTACGGCGAGGAGATGGGACGCGTGCAGGAGTGATGCGAACAGGACAGGAGATGGGACGCGTGCAAGAGTGACGCGAATAGAACAGACACGTCGTGCGACTGTCGACGACAGCCATATGCGCCCATAAAGGAGCTAGACACGAATGTCACTTCTCACATGATGTCAGAGCGACGGCTCTATGCCCCCGTATGGAGCTACGACAATGTGATGTGAGAAGATGTGTAACAAAGGAAGTATAGAATGGGAAGAGAACGTATGAAGCGGAAGTTGAAATTGAACCAAATTTTGAACCATCACGTGATATCTTCCCCGTGACAGCAAATACTGCACCGCACTCAATGGCTATGATGCCAATCACTGCGTTCTGGGTGAAAGTGAATGCCATGTGGCAAGGTGGCTGTAGACAGACTTTCAATATGTGTACAAACACCACGTGTATGTTCAGAACCTACCACGCTGTACAGGTCATGCAAGACCACCTTCCCAGACCTCGTCCGGCGCTGCTTGTACTCCCTCAGTGTATGTCCGAGTACCCATGTTCATCTCAGTTCAATATCGGTGACCAATCTGTGCAACTCACTGGGCCTCTCACATAGCCATGGCCTTGGTCCAATGAGGGCAACACCATGCACATATAAGTAGAACAACCTCAATATGTCATCGTTGACCCAGTTTCTTGCCGAGACAGTTCTAAGTCCCTAGCCGCGTGTTCCGAAGGGTTTTTATCCAACATTCATTCAATAACTCACGATTTGCAGCAATTTTATGCCACAAGGCTCGAAGCAGAGCACAGGGGTGCACAAGGCAAATAAGGTGAGTACTTAGAGCGAACTTCAGAGTTTTTGGTACTGAATCAGGTCCGCTTTCCAGAGGATGCTGATAAGCGCCTTGTGCATTGTATCTGTACATCATGTGTAAAGGACTGCGGAAATCAAGGCAAAAAGATACCTGCATGGCTAGAGAGGAAGCATCGTAAAGTTGCTAGAGTCAAGAAGAGCAGGAAGTGTTAGCGTATGAAACGCACGTGACAACGCGATACGTCCTAGCGGAGTATAGGATAGGAATTCCAGGAATTCAATCTAGTATATAATGGTTCATTTTCACCTTTCCCTCTTTCCTCAGTCCGTTATCTTACGACTGAGGGTATGTCTTTCCATTTCTTTGTACGATACATAGACTGACGACACTACGTAGTCTGACTCTTGTGTCTAGGTACTTATCAATAGAGTCCGTTATCTTACGACTGAGGTCTTACTCTTGTGTCTAGTCTCCACAGGAAGATGGGCAGTGATGACGATGAAGACGACGATAATGAGATCGTCTCTTTCGAAGAGATAGCGGCCGCTCGAAAGCATATCAACAACACCTATGAAGTTCAACCATTGAGCCAGGCCACCGGTAAAACAATCATTAAAGGTACGAGTTGCTCACTCTATGATCATATAGTTAGTATTAATGTGTTTTCAGTCGATGATCCCTCTACTGTCATGGCTACTCTGAGCCCTACCCAAGCCATCGAGCAAACATGTTCCCATCTCATATATCTCAGTGATTGCGCACCTGGTCCCAGTGCAGACAATTCAAGCCTCCCTATGCCTGGACAAGCCCCGAGTAACTCTGTGACGGACGGTGGTGAGCTTCTGGTAAACTCTTTGATACCACCGAGTAGGATGGATACTGATGTAGTCACTGATGCCTTAGATGATGATTTTGTTCAACCTGACGGTTCTCCCATGCCACAGGACATCGATATGCAACAAGATGTCGAGGAACTGTTTGTGGATGATTACAATTTCCAACTCGACGACGGATTATTTTCTGGGGTTGGTCACGATCATGCAATGACCCCTTCCACTCAATGTTTACTCTTGCTGAGGTGTCTGATGATAAAGATGGCGATGCGAGTGTCAAAGAAATCTCTACACGTCACAGTTCATGTTTGAATGTCTTGCTTGATAAAAACATGGCTAGCTCCTCCGCCATGCAAGTCTTTACAACACAGCTGAAGCATCATCCGATACTCAATTACCTTTTCCCCCTCAGGCTGATATGCAACCAACTCATTCTACCGATGTTTCCCCTCTGATAGTTCAGCCAACCTATGAAGAACCTTCATCCCTACTACCAGAGACCCCGCTACCTCCAGATGTCGTTCTGGATAACACAACTCCACATTGGTTTTGGAAGATAATGATAATCCTTCTCCTCGTCGCATGGCTTAATCTACGCTCCCATCTACCCCACCGTGCAGCAAACCTTGTTCTCAAGGTTTCAAGATCTATCTTTTATGGACTCGGAGCTTTCACTGTCGAAGATAAGCCAGCACAGACATTGAGAACGGCCTTCAATCATTTAGCACTCTCTGATTATTTTCAGGTCCATCCTATGCGTACTGTCTGCATGACGATCTTCTCCCCTGACTCGCCGCCTGATTCTCTCTGTACACACTGCAGTGAACCACTTTTCCAAGAGACTCGTTAGAAAGATATTCCAACACAATCTTCAGGGTCTACACGCACAAAGACGAGTGCGAAGGCGAGACTGCGCTGTCCTTAAAACCCATTTTCTAACGGAATTCTTCGACTTCTGTCCCAAGATGGCATCGAAGCACATCTTGATTCTTAGCGTTCATGTCAAGCTATCCCTGGCAAACGGTCGTCCATACGAGATGGTGAGGTATGGAAGACATTACGAGCAGCAGATGGGAGTCTTTTCTGTAATAATAGCCCTGCACTCGAGGATGCAGATGAGCTGCGAATAGGGATTACACTTTGCCTTGATGGGTGAGACACAAACTCGTGCATTGTCAGACTATTGACTTGATTTCAGGTTTAACTACCAGCGCAGTAGCAATTCCAGGTCCCACAGCTCTGGTATAATGTACAGCTGCATTGGAAACCTGCCAACGCATATGCGGTAAGTCTTTGACTTCAACATCCTTGATGGGTCCTTGTTCATTTCACCAACAGGTATCGCCCCCGAAACTTAATTTTTTATGGTATTAATCCAGGCTCGAAGGAGTTGGATGCCAATCAGCTTCAGTTATTTATGAAGAACTACGTTGATGATTTGCTCCGTCTCTATGACGAAGGAGTCATGCTCAAGACACAGAAGTATCCCAGTGGCAAGCCAAATGATGTCGTCGAGTTTAAATCTTATTCAACTGCATTTCAGGTCGTCGTGTTCGTGTAATTCTGGTTACAGTATGCTGTGATCATTAAGCAATGTGTAAGGTTTGCGGATTTGACAGCCACAGTAAAAAGGAAGGATTCTGTTCACGCTGTCACATTCCGCAGTCAGAACTACGAACGAAGGGCGCAATGGAATATGACAGTACGATGGTCTTGTTTTAGATAGCCCTGATTCGTCACTGATTTAACAGAATTCCCTCCACGACATGGTGAGCAACACAAGAAACACGCTCATGAATATGTCAACTTGAAGTCCAAGGAACGCGAT